GATCAGATGGCCCGACTACTGTCAGTGGCCACAGAGCCTGTAATTGCAGATTCAGGAGATTGTTGACAAGGTCATCGAGTCCTAGGGAAACTATTTAAAATTCAATCAAATGTGTTGAGCCTTGAGTCCTATCCTTTTTAGAAACTTCTTGGTCAAGCTCCATTGCATATGATGGTGGTGATAAAGTGGACCAACTGCCTTTGCGTTTCAATCAGTTGATCCCATGGGCTTCCCCATTAGTTCGAGGGTTCCAGGATAAGGATGATCTACATCCACACGATGGCATCTGGCAAGAGAGTGAAGGCAGAGAATGCTGCTCTGTCCTGCAGTTACGATAAGCCAGAGGGGCCAGGTTGGGCTTTGCCATGTAGCAAAGAGATCTTAGTATCTGTGCCCAGTTTTTATGGTGGTCCTTCCATGATCCAAGGCATCATCGGTAGCTGGGTATGGATAGTCACAGGCTCATGGCCTATTTTCAGGACAGCCAGTGTGTGGCCACTGATTGCCCTTCTTAAGGAATTTAGCATGGGGTCAAGTGCTTGCATCAGAAGATCACAGACTCACAGATGGTCCAGAGACTCCCAGCAGAACAAAAAAAAAAAAAAAAAGTATTCTATAGCTTCTACAGTGAAAGGACCTCCTGGGGGGTGGGGGCACTAATAGGAATACCTGTTGTATCACAGTTTGGACAGATTCTAGGCCCTTGTATTGGAGGGCACTCCATTCAATGTGGGCTTATCCAGCATAAATAGGCTTAAGTGAAATTTTTATTTTTTATTTTTATCTATTTACTTATGTATCTATTTTAATAGCAATAATGAATATGGTTTTTTAAGTTTATTTTGAGAGAGAGCGCGAGAGTGAGTGTACATGTACATGCATAGGGGAGGGACAGAGAGAGGGAGAAAGAGAATCCCAAGCAGGCTCCATCTGTCAGTGTGGAGCCCACGCAAGGCTCAGTCTCATGAAGCATGAGATCATAACCTGAGCCGAAATCAAGAGTCAGATGATTAACCGACTGAGCCACCCAGATGCCCCTCAAGTGAAATCTTAAAATGAGGAATATGCTGTCTCCAGAAACCAAAAATGACTAAAAGATGTTGCAGGGTTGGGTTTTTTGTTTGTTTGTTTGTTTGTTTGTTTGTTTTTTATGTTGTGGGTGCTGAGGTGTGGTTGCTAGTATATTAACCATGACTCCAATGGGGTTAAAAATGGGATTAAGGCTCAACTTTCTATCAGTGCCTCACATTGCACTAATAAAAATGTATTTTCTTGTCTGAGGACCCACATGTACCTCTCAGCCACCAGTGACACTGTAGACGAGGGTGAAGTTTGATGTGTCTGTAGGCTATGGAATGTCATGGTCTTGTCCTTGACTTGAGGTAATGACTCCCTCAGCACCATCAGTATCACCAGCACCAGCTGGTGCTTCACTGCCTAGACTGGTACCTGCCTGGGTCACAGGCAGACTTCAAGATCCCCAGTCCCCATCACTGGAATTGAGCTCATGCATGGCTTCAAGGGTAGTTTCCTACCTCTCTGGGAATATGACACATGCTGAGTGGTTCCAGTTAAGTTTCTCAATGGCAGATGCTGGCAGAACTTTCAGGGACACGGATAGAATGTTCTCTCTAGTGAACACGAATAACTACATCACCAAAGATGTGACCATCAGCCATGGTGTGTAGACTAGCTTAAGACTCAGGAGCCCTGTGTCTTCTGATACTGTGAGGATCATGAGCCTTGTCTTAGCCCAAGCCCTCTTCTTTGGAAATGGGAGGGAGGAGTGGAACAGTGCCACTTGGGTGGTGAACTTTGCAAGACTGAATATATCTCCACCTGAGACTGTTTAAATCAGAGAGTTGACTGAGATGGGGACAGTGATAAATGCTGTCCCCCGAGCACTCCCTAGATGCTCGATATGGTTCTGAGTGTGTTACTACTACCATGTCCGTTCATCCTCACAGACTCCTAAGGGAGGAAGTCTGGTTGTCATCCCCACTTTCAAAGGGGGGAACCTGTGGATCAGAGAAGCTAAAGGACTTGCCCAAGGTCACACTAACTTGGACCTTGAGCTCATGCTCCTAACCACCTCACGCAGCAGCAGTTTACTGCTGTGGCAAATATTAGTCCTCCTCACAACTATTACCCAGCGTGGTTGAGGCTCCTCAAGTCAATTCACTTTGTGACGGCAGATGTAAGATTAGCTAGCTGTGTTTTCCCCAGACCACAGGAGCTATTTTGAGTAGCCATGATGAGGTTTTGGGGTGATGATGGGGGTCCGGAGCTGACGGCCAAGAAAGAATTCTTGAAGACGTCTTTTGTGCAAAAAGGTGATTTCATTAAAGCATGGGGACAGGACCCATGGGCAGGAGGAGCTGCGCTGGGGTTGTGAAAAATGGCTGGTTTTATACTATGGAGTTGGGGGAGGTAAAGTCAAAGGAGAAGCCTCCAGAAGGACTTTGATATGCTCAAGAGGACTCAAAGACACCAGAGGCTTGGCTATTGTCAAGTCAAGGCTGTTTTCCCTCTAGTAAGGCATTAACATTAGAATGGTAGGGGGTTCCTGGAGAAATGTCATACTCTGTATTTGCCTCAAGTATTTGTCAATGGGCTGCAGGTTACAATGAAATTAATTTCACCTGCCATTCCCTTCTTGCCTTTGTTCCCCACATCACTAAGGGAGTGGGGTGGGTGATGTCGGAGCTCCAGGAAACTGAGTGTACAGGTTTCTGGAGATTAGGCTATTGATAAGATTGCCCTTTTTCTTGTCATTTCCTAAGATATTTGTCAACTGATGGAGACTCAGGTCCTGTATGACTGTGATCTCTATCAGTTAGCCATTTGTTTTTTTTTTTTCCTTTCCTTTGTCCTTGGGCAGCCAGGAGTGCCTGAGGGATATCACACATATCCCCACCTGGCGGGGAAGGGGGAACATGTGTGCTAGCTTGTGCTTCGCCCTCAGCCTGCCTTATGGTCCCTCATCAGCCACATATCCTCCTGCAGTAACAACTGGTGTGGAAGAGAGAGCAAAGGAGGGGAAAAAATTCCCTTTCCCTTTTCCACCTCTACTTCTCTCTAAGTCTCAGGACCTGATTGGTTAAGCACCAAGAGGAGTCATGGTGACTCATAATGGTTCTCAGAGCTTTGTGATCATGGCAACATATGAACACCAGCTCACACCACCTGGTTTACTTGTAGTTCATGGCCAAAGACGGTGAGTGGGTGAGAGGTGCTGGGAGAGGGGGCAGCTAATTACATATATTGAGGGGGTATCATCTCTATATCTGCTCCCCGAACACTCAGCTATCTTGTCTTAGAGCCCTTTGCTGGATGATGTAATCCCTCCATTCAAACTTTCCCTGGGGGGATCACGGAAAGTGTACTAATGGTGTTCGTTGCATTTCAACAGGTCCACTGGGCAATGGTCAATGACTCTGGCCTCAAGATAAGATCACCCAGTGACAACAGCAAGGGAACTCAGTCCCAGGTAGGATTCTCTACTCTTCCCCGAGCTCTGGATCCAGGCTTGGCCATGACTCTTGGGTGCCCGCCTTTTAAATCCCAGCTCACGTGGGGCTCCTGGGTGGCTTAGTCGGTTAAGCGTAGGACTTTCGCTTAGGTCATGATCTCGCGGTTTGTGGGTTCGAGCCCCGCGTTGAGCTCTGTGCTGACTGCCAGCTCAGAGCCTGGAGCCTGTTTCAGAGTCTGTGACTCCCTCTCTGTCTGACCCTCCCCTGCTCACGCTGTCTCTCTCTCTCTCCTAGAAATAAATAAAACATTAAAAAAAATTTTAAATCCCAGCTCACGTAAATGACATGTTTAACTGCAATGATTTCAGCCGAGTAGTCATACAGCGATATCGTTAACATTAAAGTGTGACCCGTGTGGGTACTGTCTAGAGACGGATGTGGATTTTCACAGGATGTTGGAGGTCTAGTGGCGAGGACGGGGTTTTGTGTTAGCTATAGTGCTCCTCTCCTGAGGAACAGAAAGTACTATCGTATCATGAGATATGATTTGCCCCCACTCAGTCTTCTGAAACAACGGAGGAAATTGAGGCACAGATGCCTGTAAGAGGGACCCAGTCACACATTGCTTTTCTTGAGTGGCAGGAAATGCTCAGCCATCTGGGTTTCTCCCTTTTCCGGATAGAACCATCTAAAGCCACAAAGACACTGTGTTCCATGACCAAAAGAAGGATGAGAACTGTTTGCTTGACTTCCACAAGGATCAAGGGGAAGAATCCTGAATGGGTAGATGGATGGGGCTCTGAAACCAGACAGGTTGGGTTCATATCCTGGTTGTGACATATACTAGCTCTGTGATCTTGGGCCCATTACATACCTTTCCTGTGCCTCGGTTCCCTGACCTGGATAAATGGGTGTGACTGTGGCACCCACCGTAGCTGTGAGAAGTTAAATGAGCTGTTGTATGTAAAGCTCTTGGGGAGGTACCTAGAAGGCAGATACCCTGAGCCCACTGTAATTTGTCAGAGACCAGAGAGTGGGCGGCAGCGCCTCCTTTTTCCCTCCTGAGTGAGAACCTCTTAAAGTCACCGGCAAGGGTGGAGAATCTTTCCTGGCCAAGTTGGCTCTCTTGCCTTGAACTCCACTTACAGATTGGCTCACTGTTCCTTTGATTTGGGTTCTGGTGCCTTTCTTCTGAGCTTCAGTGCCCTTCCCTGGGAGGAAACAGGCTGAGCTAATGAGAGGGGGTCAACTCACTTTGGTGTTTGCACCTCTCTCTGTCTCTACTTTATGCTTCTGAGGAATCTTGTTTTACTTAAAGAACTTTCCAGAATTTGCTTCCACATATTTTTGCATTCTTGTTGGAAAGAAATACAAGAATTACATTTATAGAGATCACATGACCCCTTCCTTTCCTATCCTCTACCGTCTCACACCCCATACCAGAAGATCTGGCATATGCAGTTTGCTATAAACTTTTTAGATCTTATCCTTTGCGTTTATGTTTATAGATGACTCTGTGAAGGAAAGACGGAGGGGATAAAATACACATTGTTTTTCAAGTTTCTTTCTTCAATTACCACTTCTAGGAAATCATTTCCATGTTGGTACATAGAGGATCCCTTTTACCCTTTTCAAGAGCTAAATTTTATTTCATGTTATTGAGATATTAGAGCTTCTTTACAGAAGGAAATTTGAAAAATTGCCTTTGTTTCAAGTCAGTGTCTCTGGAATAGCCAAGTCATTCATCTAGATGTTTTACAGAACTGTAAGATTAGGTACAAACTAAAGACATAAGATGTTGTATATTTCTCCAAGAATAAAATGTGAAATAATATATCCAGTTCGCACTAGCCAAAAAACACATGTGAACTTCATTATTTATTTACTTATTATGTTTCATAGGTTTTTAAATGTTTATTTTACTTTGAGGGAGAGAGAGAGAGCATGAGCATAGGAAGGGGCGGAGAGAGGGGGAGAGAGAGAATTCCTAAGCAGGCTCCATGCTGCCAGTGCAGAGCCTGACGTGGGGCTCGATCCCATGAACCATAAGATCATGACCTGAGGGATAGAACTCTGCTTCAGGCTCTGCACTGGCAGTGAGGAGCCTGCCTGGGATTCTCTCTCTCACTCTCTCCGCCCCTCACCATTCTCTTTCTCTCTCTCTCTCTCAAAAAAAAATAAATAAACATTTAAACAAAATAGAGGGAAATATGCATGAAACTGTTTTATGAGCCAACTGTTTTGATGCTAAAAATACCATTTCTTGCTGGATAGGAAAATTCATTATTGTGATCCTATAAATTATCTCCCAAATAAAGCTATCAATTCAGTGCAAGCACAGTCATGAACAGGATTTTGCCATGAGATAAGATGAGCTAATTATTCAATTAAATGGAAGAGAACCTATGTGGGAGTAGCCATTATGGTGAGCTTGCCACATAAGATATGAAAATCTACACTACACACTTAGTAATTAAAACAGGAACTGAAACTATGTCAGCGGAGCAGATCAGAGATTCTAGACACAGAACTGTGTGCGTAACAGAATGGAAAAAATGATAACGCTGGCATTTGAAAACCCAGGTTTCTACAAAGCAACATCCTCTGATTCTTTTGGAAGCAAGTGTATGTGGTGGGGAGCTGGTAGGGAAGAGGCCTCTGGGGCCATGGGTTCAACTGAGTTCCATCATCTTTTTCAGGCTCCTTCAGTTGTGCTCCTTCCAAAGCCATCTGTAGCATTAACCAGCCATGGAGAAAGGACACTCTGAAGTCAGCCCCAGCACGCCCATACCGAGCATCAAGAGGAAGGCGGACGAATACATAAAACCCAAACAGGCCTCCAAAAATGTGCTGAGCTTTCTACTTGGTAGGCAACTAGGCAGCCACAGAAATGACCTGAATCTGTCTAAGTGGTTGTGGATGCTGACCCGAGCCACACCAGGGTGGCAGTGGCCCCTGCCAAAAAATCACATAACTTACCTGCTTATGCCTACCCACAATGTTGGAAAAGGCAAAAAGAATGGTTTAGAATGACACACTGCTGCCTTGTTTCAGCTGTTAAAATAAAAGCTGAATTTTCACTCCAGCGGTTGGATACGTTCTTATGCCCAAGCAGGGTTCTTGGGTTGGTTACACTGGACAGGGCCTTGCATTCAACGGAATGGAATGGGACCACGGGTAACGTTGTGTGCAGGAGCTCTCACATACGGGCGGGTGGTGGGATCACACTGCATGTCACATCCCTCCCACCGTTAACCTGGAACAAAAGTAAGGGGACAGTGATGTAGAAGCAGGTCCCTCCAGGAACCGAGATTCCTCTCCCTGGCATTTGTGGAGATGCCCACCGTGTTCCCCTGGAAAACTTAGCTGCTACCCTGGTGAAAGACATTGTTTAGGAACAGGCCTCGAGTTGGTTGGGAAATTTAGGATACCCCTGTTTTTATTCTGACGCTCACGAGAATATCATTGAGACACTACCACATTGTATCTTTGATGGGTCCATTTCATCTAAAAGTATCAGAGCACAAGGCATTATACTATGGGACCATCGTACTGAAACAGCACCCCAACCGGTCTAAAGGGTTGACTCCAACCTAAAGGGTTGACTTGCTTTAAGCTCACGCACTTCTTGCTTACTGACCTGAGTCCCTTGGTCTGTAGTGGAACTAACCTGCTTTCCTTGAGATTCACAGACCACTTGCCTTGAGGAGTGAAGGACCAGACTTTCCCAGAAGATAAGGCCTGACTGCATTCGAAAACAGCCACTGAGGATGCCAGCAAGTCTGCTCAAGGACATGTAAACATACGATTCACCACCCAGGTCCCTGCTTCTCCTGTGCACAGCCCCCCTCCCTTTTCCCAGGCCTTCCCCTTTAAAACCCTCAGGCTGCCCCCGGATGGGAAGATGGTCATTGAGACGTATGCCCACCATCCTCCCGGGTTGCTGGCCTCCTGAACAAAGCAGCCTTTCCTTTCCCACCATCACTTGTCTCTGGAGTATTGATTTTTCACTGGCGAGCTGCTGAACTGAGGTTAGGAAACCAATTCTCTGTCCAGTACCAATAACCTCAAAGCCTTCTGAAGGTAATGGCTCTTCTCAATGTCCCCGAAGTCTGGGCCGGCCAAGCCCTTATCCGGCCGGGTGGGGAAAACCTGGCAGGCAGCGGTGGTGGGAAGCCAAGAATGTACCAGACTGAAGGCCCCAGCCCACCTCTGGAGTTCTGGGGTGCCACAGTCCCTCGGGAAAGGCACAATGGGCGTGAGGACATTGGGCATTGAGAAACAAGCTTAAGCCAAGGGAAGACAGTTTCACGGCCAGCCTAGGGGACCAGCCAGGGGACAGCGAGAGAGGGTGGAGACGTGGGAGCAACAGCACGGCTGCAGGCATGACTGTCCTGGGCAGAGGAGGCGGCTGCCTGACCCCTACCCCACTGCTGGCTGGGACGGTACCACGCCACCCCCCACCTGCCCGCCATTCAGGGTGCCCGCTCCTCCCCGCCCCTCCAGCCTTGGGTTAACAGGACAACTCAAGGCCTCTGCATCCCGTCACCTCCTCCCTGAGCCTGTCCCCTCCCCACGTGCAATCTGATTCAGCCTCTGGTGTCCCCGGAGGGGCGGCTTCCGGCACCCTGTCCCTCACCACTCACAGAAACGGAGGCACTTTGGGCCGTGATGCTTGGGACCAAGGTGGCCCCTTTAACCAGGACGAATCTCACGAATATCACCTTGAGTGACAGGACGGGCAGCGCATTGGGACTTCGCGATGCACCCTCTGGTGGCCAGCAGTGTGGGTGCACACGTGTGGACTAGACCCGACCTGGCGCTGCAGGTGGCGCTGAGGTTCCCAGAACTTGTACTGCTCCCAGCAGCTGCTCACGCTGTCTCTGTCTCTCAAAAACAGATAAAACATTAAAAGAAAAAAGACCCTAGAGGGTCCGTGCCAATGGGTACTAATCTCACAGATACCGCCTTGAGCGACGGGACGGGCAGCGCAGAGGGACTTCGCGATGCACCCTCTGGCGCCAGGCACACATGTGGCCTAGACCCGACCCGGCGCTGCGGGTGGCACTGAGGTTCCCACAACTGGGACTGTCCCCAGCAGCTGACACCGCCTACCCTGCCTCTCCCAGGGGTGCCTGACCCTGCGCACAGGCCCCCCCCAGGCAGTGCCATGCGCAGTGCCGCTCGGAGTGCTCCCCCATGAGGCCCCGCTCTTGACCGCGGAGGGGGAAGAAAGGTGTGTTTGGAGGCTGGAGAGGCGTCCTCACGGCCCAACATCCTTTGCCAGTTGGACCGCAAGGACGTCCCTGCCCTGCAGCCTTCCTGGGGGGCTGCATTCCAGCCACATCTGGAGGGCTCCGTTCGTGCCTCCAGAAGTCCGAAGCACAAGGAAGACATCCCAAAAGGCAGAGGTTGGCAGAGAGACACAGAGCCAGAGACGGAGTGGGAGAGGGAGCCAGAAAGGGGGGAGGAAAGAGAGATTGGCCTCAGAAGTCAGTCCTGCCCCTCCCCCCCCACCCATGCACAGGGCCGGCCACGCCCACACCCATCCTCCACAGGGACCTTCTGCCTCCTGGGTTCATCCGGGGCTCAGAGCCTCTTCTGAGACGAGTCCTTCCTATGGAGCGTGGCAGCATCCCCTGCCCAGTGCCTGGGCAGCCAGGGCCAAGTCGCCAAGGAAGGTGCCTGTCATCCCGAAGGCTCTGCAAGAGGGGACACGATGCCCACCCCTCCTCTGGCCTCCCGCGGTGGGGACAGGGACGGGAACAAGAAGTGCAAATGTAACAAGGAAGGGCTGGGGCCCGCCTCTCTCCCTCCTTTCACTTGCCTGCCCTCCTCTCTTTGCCCCCCCTCCCCATTAGAGGCAGCTGGAAGGGAAGAGGAGGAAAGGGCTCCCTGATGTGTGTAAAGGGGCCTGTGCTCCGAGGGATACCAGACAGCCCCGGACAGCAGGCTACACGGACACACTGCTTGTGTATTACGAATACGCTTCTAACTGGAAGGGACCTTTCCAAAGGAAACATGCATCTGTCCGGGAACCAAAGTTCTGGTAGCATCCAGTACAGATGCTAACACCGTTACTCCTCTCCGAAGGCAAAACGGCAAAACTGCCGTACAAAGTACTTTGTTCCTTTGGACAGACTGTTCTCACTGCCACTGGTCAACGTGAGGCCACCGAACGAACATCGGCAATATACTTTTGCCTGCTCAGCCTCCTGCACCTAGCCCAGTTAGAGAACCCTTTCCAAACCTGGTCCCTCTTCCCTGAAATAATTCAATTGTGGTGCATGAAATCACGTTGACTGTCCTAACTAACATTTTAGAACTGTTGAGAGCTTAGAGCCGATTCCACTAACCCCTGCGTGCTACACCTAAGGACGCTGAGACATGAGCAGGGCACGGGGACCCAGAGCTGTCCCTGGTCCATTGTTCACAGAGCCTGATGGGAACCCTGGGTCGTGCTGCCGAGAGCTGTACACTGTGTTTCTCCATGATGTTTCAACACATACCTTTCGTTTACCCAACTTGATTCCAAGTGGCTTTTTGTAGACTAGAGATTAGAAACTCATTGTTAAAGCTGTGAACCAAAAGTTAAAATCTTGGGAAGAAAATTCCATTGGCAATCGTAGGAATAGAATGAGACACAAACCACATATAGAGGAAGAATGCAGAGCTGTGACTCGTCTTTTCAGATATGATAGAATGTGCAGATTTCATCCAACAAAAGAAAGGGGCCCCTGGCCGGCTCAGTTGGAGAAGCGTGCAAGTCTTGGATTGGGGTTGGGAGTTCAAGCCCCACGTTGGGTGTTGAGATGACTTAAGTAAATACACTCTGAGGGGCCCCTGGGTGTTTCGGTCGCTGAGCATCTGACTTCAGCTCAGGTCATGATATTGTGGTTCACACGTTCCAGCCCTGCGTCAGGCTCTGTGTGACAGCTCAGAGCCTGGAACCTGCTTCCCTCTTTCTCTGCCCGTCCTTTGTGCGTGCTCTGTCTCTCTCTCAAAAATAAAGAAAACATTCACATTACAAAAAAATTTGTTTTGAAAAAAAAAAAAAAGAAACCAGGAGAAGACATGAAGGCAGGCCGGGAGCACTGCAGATTCTTTTTTTTTTTTTTTTTTTGCTCACCTGATGACAGTAATTTATTTATTTATTTTTTTTTACAAATAGTTTATCGTCAAATTAGTTTCTACATAACACTCAGTGCTCATCCCCAAAGTGCCCTCCTCCATGCCCATCCCCCCACCCCCCCACAACCAACAGTCCTCAGTTTTTGTCAGCATTCAAGAGTCTCTCATGGTTTGCCTCTCTCCCTTTCCCCCACCATTTCCGCCCTTCTTCTCCCCCTTGTTCCTCCTTCAAGTTCCTCCTAATCCTCCTATACGTGCAAACATATGATATTTGCAGCACTCTCCACAATAGCTAAAACATGGAAAGAGCCTAAGTGTCCATCAACAGATGAATGGATCAAGAAGATGTGGTTTATCTATACCATGGAATACTACATGGCAATGAGAAAGAATGAAATCTGGCCATGTGTAGCAACATGGATGGACCTTGAGGGTGTTATGCTGAGCGAAATAAGTCAGGCAGAGAAGCACTGCAGATTCTAGCGTCAACCAAAGGGATTCAAATCAGGGGCGCCTGGGTGACTCAGTTAAGTGTCCGACTTTGGCTCAAGTCATGATCTCAGAGTGTGTGAGTTTGAACCCCTTTTGGATGCTGTCTCCCTCGGCCTGCCCCTCCCCCACTCATGCACGGAAGTGCTCTCCCTGTCTCTCAAAAATAAAACGTAAATAAAAAGGAGTCAAATCAGAAGTGGGAATCACGTAAGAACCACCTTTTTAACTACCAGTGACCTTCCCTTTGTCCATACTTCACACTTCCCCCCAATCCGTTATGAAGCAACTCACCTTAAAGGTGAGTTAAGGTTGCTGTCATTGTAATCAGGTAGTAAGCAGGAGTTTAAATAAATGAGATGGTGGGTTGATGCTCTCTTAACAAAAGTCAGAAACAAAGAAGTAAGAACCAGAACAAGGTAACACAACAAACACAAGTACCAAAGGCAGAGAAAGTATA